CCCGCGCCGCCGCCCTTCTTCCAACAAAATTCCCGACTTGGGTTGGGGCCCCTGTTGGGACACGGTTCTTGGGGCCTTTGCATTTTTGCATGTCCTTTGAGCAGAGGCATTGATGACATTTTGTTCTGAATTACATCTTCAAGGCGGTTTTTAGCAAACGCCCTGGGAAGACAGAGATCATGTCTCTCTCCAGAGCAGAAAGGCAGGTGTGTTTGCTGTCCAGTATCATAAAGACAATGTCTCGCTCTGAGGCAAGGCTTGATCAGGTTTGCGCAGAGGTCATTGGGAAAGACTGGGGCTGCCTATGCTGAGTTCTTTGGCTTTGACACAAACTCAGTGTGTGCATAGCCTCATCTGCATCCTGTTTTGCTCTGCCCTGGGACTTGGGCTGAGGTAGAAATGATATAAAGATGAAGCATAAGCTGCTTGCAAGGCTGTAAGGAAAATCCTTTGTCTCTGGGCGGAGGAGTTAACATAGCAGGCATCAATAATATCCTTGGAAAGGCTGGCTTGCAAGCTTGGCCTTTGGTTGTTTATAAAAACCTGGATTTGGGGAGGGTGCCCACCATCCCCAGAGTTGATGAGAATGGGTCAGCATGCCTAAGCTGTTTGTACAAATAATGTGGTTCATGCTGGACACCTGCTTGCCTTCGAGAGTCTGGAATTCGGGGATGTGCCATGTACAGGCTGCCTACATGATCAGCCCCATGGAAACCCTGGATGGGAGGCTCTCGTGACCTTCCCCGGCGGGCATCATCTCACAGGTGCTGTCACAATTTGTTGCTGAGGGAATTAAAAGTGTCCCGTGTGACCAGGGAGAGAGGACTCCTGGCCACTTGAGCCTGATTTCCTTTGTACTGAACTCTTTGAGCCTTTCCCTTTGCTGTCTCTTTTCACTGTAATAGATCAGAGCCGTGAGTACGAACGTAATGCTGAGTCTTGGGATTCCTCCCTGCGAATCATTGGACCTAGCCGTGGTCTTGGGGGCCCCAGACACAGTCTCTGATCCCAGAATCTTCTGTCTTCTTGCAACATCCATGAAATTGGCAGGCTAACTTGTTAATTTAAAGTAGGGGGATCTCAGGGGCGCCTGGGTGGCTCAGTTGTTGAGCGTCTGCCTTCGGCTCAGGTCATGGTCTCAGGGTCCCGCGATCAAGCCCCGCATCGGGCTCCCTGCTCGGCGGGAGGCCTGCTTCTCCCTCTCCCACTCCCCCTGCTTGTGTTCCCTCTCTTGCTGTGCCTCTCTCTGTCAAATAAATAAATAAAATCTTAAAAAAAAAAAAAAGTTAACATTATCTCCTGCCATAAATATCAAAGCAGAACCCCCCTGCCACTACGGCAGCCTCTCTCCGAGCTCCGGGACATCGCCCTGTGTTCCCTTCCCAGCATTGGTCACAGTCACTACTGCCGTGCTCAGTTCTCTGAGCACCCCTCTCCAACTGGACTGTGGGTTCCGTGGAGGCAGGGGCTGTATCTGTCTTATCCACCAGGCTATCCCACCGCACCGTGCTTAAGACAGAGGCGGGCCCCTCACAGGTGTTCAGTGAAAGCTGCTGAATGAAAGAACAGTTCACAACAGGAAGAAGCAGGGCGAGGGGCCCAATGAAACCCAAGCAGAGTTAATATGGGTGAAAATACAAACAGGAGCTGTTGGCATCCATGACATTAAACTAAGTGGTAGGTTTTCCGTGGCCAACAGAACACCAGAGACACAAACGTCTGGGTCCGCGGCAGCGACACCGGGAAAGCAGGGCCATCAGCATTTCCGTCATGTGAGCTGCATGGGGGAGCTCCTACATCAGGCATTTGCTCCCTCGTGTGAGCACTCACCGAGGACATGCGACATGCTCTGGAGGTGAGAGATGGACAAGTTTTGCTTCTTGCTCTCAAACACTCACGGATGGAGCACAGAGGATTGTTAGGGCAGCGAAAATGGTAAATACATGTCATTATACATTTGTCCAAACCTACAGAATACAGACACCACCAAGGGAACCTTAAGAGATTTGGGGTGATGGTGTGTCGATGTAGGTTCATCAGTTGTAACAAATGCACCCCCCCACCCCGTGGGGGCACTGATAATGGGAGAGGCTGTTTGTGGCGGGAGGGGGGGGAGTGCAGAAGGAATAGAGAAAATCCCTTACTTTCCTCTTAAGTTCGTTACGAAAACTACTTAATAATAATAATGAAATAAAGTCTTACAGAAAAAAAGAAAAGGAAAAAAACAACTGTTCCAGTCCAGTGGGGAAACGACGATGTAACTACCAATTACATTCTGATGAGATCAAGGTGCCCAGGGAATAGGGAAGGCGGCTTGGCAGCAAGGGTTCACAGAGGAAGCAATCGCTCTGGAGCTAAGGTTCACAGGGGGCATGACCTCCGCCAGCTGGCAGGTCAGGGCAGAGGGAACAAAGGCACACACAGGAGGTGGTCAGGGAGCGGCCAGAGCTCGGCCGGAGCTGGCCAGGCAGGCAGGGACACATCACAAAAGGCAGTCTGAGTCTACACCCAGCAAGGATGAGCCATGGAAGGGTTTTAAGCAGAGAAACAACGAATTAGATCTGTTTCAGAAAGAACTGAAGGATGCTGAAATGCCACATGGAGGGAGGGACCCTAAACCATCTGATTTCCTCAGCTACTAAGACGGAAGAAACGATATATGCCAACAACTCACTGTGTGACAAACTTCTGCTTTTATCTCTTTCAAGGCTCGTTCAGAAAACACACAACCACAGCATCGCAGGAAGCAAAACCTGGGGAAATAATCCAAAATGGAGGATGACTTAAATAATAATTTAAAAATGATCACCCAGATTATTGGTTAACATTTGTTCAGTCTGTACAAAGGCCAAAAACTACAAAGAGAAAAATGGTCACATTTGATTCCATTAAGGAAAAAGAAATCAGTATGTCCCATATATATTTATTTATATACTACTTTAAACCAGAAATATAGGCCATAGTCCCATTCCTGATCCCTTGTAATAATCCTTTAGAATAATGTCTCTCCTACAAAAAAAAATAAATACGTTAAAGAAAAAAAAACCCACAAACATAAAAAGTCAAAAGACAGAACAGGAACTCTTGGGAGAGACTATTTTAAATATATATGAGATTCAGTGTTTTTTTTGTTTGCTTTTGATTTTATTTATTTATTTGAGAGAGAGAGAGCACAAGCAGAGTGAGCGGCAGGCAGAGGGAGGAAGAGAAGCAGGCTCTCCACTGAGCAGGGAGCCTGATGTAGGGATCTATCCCAGGACCATGGGATCATGACCTGAGCTGAAGGCAGACGCTTAGCTGACTGAGCCACCCAGGCGCCCCGAGATTCAGTATTTATGAATATTCAGAAGGGTCTCAAAAAGCAAAAATAAACAATGTATCAGAAAAATGGGCAAAGGCATTAACATGCGATTCATGGGAGAAATATAAATGGCCAAAACATAAAAATGCTTAACCTCAACTGTTAATTAAAGAAATTCACTGCAAAACAATGATGTGCCATGTTTTACGTATCCGGCAGTAATGAGAGAGACTAAAGTTATCCAGCTAGAAACAGAGGAAACAGGCATGTCTGTTGGTGGTGGGCACAACACAGTGCGTCTTAGAAGGACAATTTGTCAGTATCGAGGGAAAAAAGCACTTTTTGGAGCATCTCCTATAGAAACATGCTCACGAGTGTGCAAATGCATAAATATGTATTTATGAAGTTGTGTAGGACAGTGCTGCTCGTAACAAGGAAAAAGAGGAAAGCACCTAGATGTTCATCAACAGAGGAATGGTTACATAAATTATGAACACTCACACAGCTATTAAAAGGAGCAAGGTAAATCTGTATGCAAGGCCATGAAAACATGCTCACATTAGACAGAGAAGTAGGAAACAAAGAGGTTACAAGATATGTCTAATACGTTTCCATGACTCTAAAGAATATACATTTATTTATATTTCCAATGGCAGAGGTGTAGGGAAGTGCGGAGTATGTGTGTTGGTGCTGGGCAGGTCTGTGTATGGGGTGGGGGGCGGCGCTGAAACTCCAAACTAAGAACGTTGCCATGGGAGGCGAGGACTGGGGGAAAGGGGCAAAACTCACCTGCACATTTTACTTTATATATTCCTCTAAAAATGCCACGATAGAAAGTCTCTCCAATTCCTTAGGGATTATAGTGGATACAGATTGCCTTAACAAAAACCCAATTAATAACACTGTACTACATTCATTTACTGTTGTTTAGGACCAAAAAAAAAAAGTCCTATTTTATGGATACTTACTAATTATTAATAATTTAGAAAATTATTTTTTTAAAGATTTATTTATTTATTTGACAAAGAGAAGCAGCAGAGGGAGAGGGAGAAGCAGACTCCCCGAGGAGCAGGGAGCCCGATGCAGGACTTGATCCCAGGACCCTGGGATCATGACCTGAGCCGAAAGCAGACACTTAACGACTGAGCCACCCAGGCACCCCAGAAAATTATTTTTCTTTAAACAAAGGCTCAATGTTTTCATTACACTAATCATTTATTTCTATTTTTCTCTATATTTAAATCTTTATTATATAGGCTTTAATAAATGTATGATTTTCTAGTGTGGAGGCCATATTAATAGCAGGAGGGCAAAGCCAAAACAGGCAAAGCTCAATTAACTGGGAAGAGAGGAGAGGAGATTAACCAGTGAAAAAGGGGAAAAACTAGGGAAGCCACAATCGGAGCAACAGGCTACAGGTGACCTCTGCTTAAGACCCCAGAGTTGAGTCTGTTTCTGCTAAGTTCCTCTTTTGAGGTGAACCATGGTCTTCTTAAAAAGAAGTGGGAAGCCAGACACAAAAGGTCAAATACTGAATGATTCTACGTACAGGAAATCTCCAAAATAGGCAAATCCATGAAGACAGAGAGCAGACCGGCAGTGGCCAGGGGCTGGGGCTGGGGGAATGGGAAGGGACTGCTCTGTGGCTACGGAGTTTTCCTTTGGGGGGAGGGAAATGGAAGCAGACAGAGGTTGGTGGCTGCACAGCATTGTGGCTGTACCAAACACCCCTGAAACATGCACCTTAAAATGGTCACTTTTATGTTACAACTTTAACCTTGAAATAATGTGTGTGTATACCACATACCGAAATGCACACAAAAGTGAGATGAGGTGAGTCTACTTCCCCAGAACTTTAGCTTTTTAATTAATTCATTACTTTTTCTTTCTTTCAGCTTTATTTAGGTACAACTGACAAACACACATTTTCTATATGTAGGGTATACAACTTGATGATCTGATGTATGTATACACTGTGAGATGATCATCTCTATCAAGCCAATTAACATATCAACCACCTCATAGAGCTACCACTAAATGGTAAACAGAGAGGCTTAAATGATTTAAAGTCAGACTATCTGAATAATATAATCTTTTTTTAAAATTAATTAATTAGTTGATTTTTTTATGTAGTGTTCCATGATTCATTGTTTGCGTGTAACACCCAGTGCTCCATGCAATACGTGCCCTCCTTAATACCCATCACCGGGCTAACCCATTCCCCCACCACACCCCCCAAAACCCCTGAAGAATATAATCTTTAAAAGCCGCTTGGGCCTAAAATTTTACTTCTCTCCAAATCCACAAAGCCACAGGTTATGCCATTTCAGGGCATGGTGGTCACGCTGTCTGGCATAGTATGCCATGCACAGTGCACACACGTCTGTTCAATGCACGTGTACAAATGTGCCAGAATGCTCCAGAGTCAATGTGGTTGTTTATAGCTCAAAGTTTTTACCTACTTGAGATTCTCCCCGTTTCAACCCCACCCATTTCCTGAATGAAAATAGTAAAAAAGTACTACCTTTCAACAAGTAATATGTTAGATGGAAGGTTCCAGATGGCAGGTGGGACTACCAGTTATTAAAGGTATTTCTAAATGGTGGGAAAAGAGTTGAAAGCTTTGGCTTACTGAGACATTCTATAAAAAGGCACCTGCTACAGTCAACATTCATATTTTTTAAGGCAGAAATATACAGGTCACTTATGTTTGCTATAGAACTCTTGACCTTAGGATTTCTGGTGCTCTAGTCAGAGGATTTGTTCGCTACAAATTCAAAGCAAGTTATCATTATCAGCTAGGTCTTCAGCTGACTGATTGAGCACACACTGGGTGACACTGTTTTCCACCACACAGTTTTCAGCAATTATAAGGAAATCGGAGCTGCCTGATGGGCAACATTTGTCCTTTGCTTTCTTCCCGTAAGAAAAAAACAAATAATCCAACTCAGGTCTCATAAAGTGTCACATGAGAAATTTTTAAAATCCCTCTTTACTCTAGGTGCTCCTACTCTCAAGAACAGAAAGCACAGACACCAAAGTTGAGTGGACTTGGTGGGACACCACATGAGAAACGGCTATTAGGGAATGAACATGGTCTCATGGCAGCACCACCACCTCTAAGACACAACCCAAACCAAAGGACACCCTAAAGAAGACTGTGTGATGAGGGGCGCCTGGGTGGCTCAGTCGTTAAGCATCTGCCTTTGGCTCAGGTCACGATCCCAGGGTCCTGGGATTCAGCCCCCCCCCCCATCGGGCTCCCTGCTCTGTGGGAAGTCTGCTTCTCCCTCTCCCACTCCCCTGCTTGTGTTCCCTCTCTCGCTGTCTCCCTCTGTCGAATAATCGAATAAATAAATAAAATCTTAAAAAAAAAAAAAAAGACGACGACTGTGTGATTATAAAGCTACAGCACAAATCCTAACAGCATCAGTATTATCTAACCAGACTCCACACCATCTGCCCCACATCCCTTACTGACCTGTGCCGGCCATTCATCTCCAAGCCCACAACGGGGCAGATGAAACGTGCCCGCTGGAGGTCATCGTGTTTGTCACCTTTTGTGTTTCCTCTGTCCCCTTCCCAGGCAGGATTATCAGAAAGCCTTAGTTCTGTCACATTCTGTGAAAAACCATCCATAGTTTAAGAATTCATCTGATAAATGGATCATCCTTAGCCTCAATAACCACCTAAATTGATAGAGAAATTGTTATTCCAGTCCTTTCCCATCCAAACCTTTTCTTCCTAGCTCCTTTCCTTTGGCCATCAATTGTAACATGGATAAAAAAATTAAACCATAAACTGCAATAGAAAACAAGAGTTTTAAAATTCACTGACTGGCAAGTGAATTAGTTAATTTCTATTTTATAAATATTTTGCTATCTAAGGAAAAGTACTTTTGGACATGAAAAATAAGTCCACTAACAGAAAGCTTTGTATTAATTTCATCCAGAAAGGAACATTTTCTTTCCCTGCGAATGAATCCTCACTGAGGCTGTTCCATATTCCTGGTGGCCCATGTTTATTTAGTAATTGAACAGACAGGGGCGCCTGGGTGGCTCAGTCGTTAAGCATCTGCCTTCGGCTCAGGTCATGGTCCTAGGGTCCTGGGACTGAGCCCCACATCGGGTTCCCTGCTCAGCGGGAAGCCTGCTTCTCCCTCACCCACTCCGCCTGCTTGTGTTCCCTCTCTCGCTGCCTCTCTGTCAAATAAATAAACAAATCTTTAAAAAAAAAATCATGGATAGTGAGTATTCTCACCTGTGAGATGAGATAAATAAAATCTTAAAAAAAAAAAAAATTACTAATTTGCCTGAAATTATATCTTGTATCCTGTAATCACTCCAAGAATTCAAACATAAGGCCTAATATAATAAAAAATTTACAAAGAAAGAAGAGAAAAACCCAAAGCCTTATACAGAGAGCCAGGGACTCTGGTTCTGGGTTGGTGCCTCATTAGCTGTGTGGCCTCAAAAAGTCATGGATGGGGCGCCTGGGTGGCTCAGTCATTAAGCATCTGCCTTCGGCTCAGGTCATGATCCCGGATCAAGCGCCGCATCAGGCTCCCTGCTTCGTGGGAAGCCTGCTTCTCCCTCTCCCACTCCCCCTGCTTGTGTTCCCTCTCTCGCTGTCTCTCTCTGTCAAATAAATAAATAAATCTTTAAA